ACCTTGAGTGAAGGTGGTCCTGCCCTTTCTCCAAAATTAACCTCACGTAGAAGATCAGCAGATCACTCAAACTGTATAAATATCATAACCCCCTTGAACATATTTAGAACCACATCCTAAGGCAAATTGGGAAAAGTGATTTCTAGACACATGTTTATTCCAGTAGAAACCCAAGTGTTATATGACAACTTTAGGGAATGTTGAAAACCCCCCACATTCATTCCTAGGCTACTATGAATAATATGAAAGACAAGGTCAGCCAGTCTGAAAATACATCTCCTACTTAAAATGGAACATAAAATTAAAATCAGATAAAAGTACAATATTTTAATCTCAACACAGTAACCAACATGTAAAAAGATCTAACCATTAACTTTCTATCTATAAACATAACTGATAATTCTGATTCCATTTTGCAAAGAAAAATTTGGATTTCAACCATAAAAATTTTATTCTCCTTCTTAAGGAGAGGAGCGAACGGGGGTGGGGGTGGGATGTGCAGGGAGAAAAGTGCAACAATGAATGAATGGAATTCCAAAATCTCTGTAGATGTTCATTGAAATTAATTTTATAAAAAATTATTCTCATTTTAATACATAAAATCTCACCAGTACATTAAGCTGTAGGGAAAGAAGAAAAAGCAAATCAAACGAATAAAAATGTGCTTTATAAATACAAGAGAGAATTCTGGTGGCCTAGCCGTAAGGAGTTGTGAAGCGAACCCAAAGGTACTGGTATGAATCCACAAGCTGCTCCATGGGAGAAATATCAGCAATCTCCTCCCGTGTGATTTATAGCCTCCAAAAACTTGCTGGAAAGTCAGCTATGAGTCCATCCTGACTCGATGGCACGTCACAACAACATCAATGCCAGATTGCTTCCAAGTTCTCTTCTAAAGATTGCCGTTTAGAAAAACAAAACAAAAAAACCAAACCCAATGAAAAAAACAGGAAATAGCTTATATCGTTTTTAATGCTTGGATTTATCTCCTTTCCCTTTTAAAAGCATATAATAATAAAAACTGCCTTGGAAACAAGTATCTTCTTTGATAACAGAGCTAAGCCTTTCTTTTGGATATTTTGCTAGAGAATGTTTTCAATATGTCAGACATATTAAATTTAACTTAAAACTGTGGTGATGCCATCTCTAGGAGTTCTCCATGAGGCAACCCATTCCGGTATTAGGAATCCGTGTTTGCATTAGCAGTCCGTCCCCTTGCCACGAGACTATGGATGCCATCTGGTTTGCAAAGCCTGCCTGCATCCCCTGATTATATCCTTAGCTTCCTTCACTGCAGTGCCTGCCAGGTGAGCCGCCAAGCACTGCAAAGGCAAAGAAACTGAGAGGCCTGGTGGGGTCGTTCCTAATAAGCTGGCGTGTGAATACTAATCAGTGGTGGGGAAGCAGAGGTCACCCAGCCTGCCTGTTGGCAGGTAGCGATGTGCTCTGTGGCAGATGGCAGGCATTATCGACTCTCCACAAAGGCCTAGACGAGAAATAAGCACCACGGCTGAATGATAGAGTTATTGAGATTCTGAGCAAGATGCAAGCAGATGTGATGTTTGCCAGTACCCACCGTAAACAATATGCCAGCAGAATTTTTAAAAAGAGCATGTGTGTACAAACATGAAACAGAACTCATTTGAGAAAATGTTCACACCTTCTTCCTCTTTAACCACGTGTGTACCAAGCTCAAGCAAGTGCAATTAATGATCTCTCCCTTGGGACAGCTGACCCATGGCTGTGCAGTCTCTGAAATCTACTGCTTCTAATGACATCAGGAAATGTATTTTCCAAGACAGAAATGCTTTCTTTAAGTTCAGAATCAAGTAATGAATGATTCAACTGAAAAGATACCAAAGAAACTGAGGTCATTCTTGGCACGCACTTGGTGGCCAATATCCTGTCTCAGTCTGCCAGGACCAACCTGTTGTTTCATTGTCCCACCATGTCAGCTATGGAGATTAAACCCTGAAAGGGAACCATTTGGGAATATATTCAAAATCATTTAAAAATGCACATACTCCAAATCACAGAAAAAACAGAACTCAACAGATATTTGCCAAGGCCACTGATGTTTGGAGAGAAAAAAAAATCAAAATAGTTCTCCTTTGGGGTAGAGAGAATCATTAACTGTAGGCATTTTCATACTGGTTTCCATTCAGGTCCATATATAAAATGAAAACCATATTCATACTTTTTTGACATCTCTGCCCTTAGGAATAAGGAAACTATAAGCATGTTTCCTCTTATAAAATGACATGCCCTCTAAAAGCACATAGAATGGGACAATCAAAATCATATCTTCAACAGCTTCTAAAACATGAATCACCACTTGAGGAATAGGATTAAGTCATGGAAACTCATTCCACATACTCCTCTGTCTTCTACACTGGGTACAATTCTGAAAGAGTTAAACAAATGTGTACAGCATAAAACTAGAGAGCTGAAATGTTGTGAGCTACATGAAAAGAGAGAGAACCAAAAAGCAGTTTTTCCAGATGCTTCCTTTTCTCTACACAAGCTTAAGATGTATATGTACTGTGGACAGACTTGGCATCCCAATGACTAATTACTATGGGAATCTTTTCAAATTCGTTTTGTTAATATAACAGGCTTTCCTTCTTTGATTCTTACCTGGTTAGGTTCATATACCATCAGTCTGTTCTGATATTGTGCCGTGTTAGTTACCCCACCTGTAATGGATTAACATTTGTTAAAGCTTTTCATGAATAAGAAATAGAATATTCCAACATAAGAATGAGATACAATTAAAGGAAAATTAGCTACTGCTAAGGATTTGTTTGTGTATCCTTCTGGTGAACCCATGATATAATTAAGAAGCTTATTGTTAAAGCAGCTTTGTTTTCATGAAACTTTTAAGAAATAATCCAGTGGAGAACAAGCAACAAGTAAACTGAGATTACCCAGAAGCACCCAAGCCTGGTCATGTGATTTGTTTGACCAGAGAGGCAAAATGTTGGAAGAGAGGAACCAGTATAGACAGACAAATCTCTATCTATTTGTTAATACTACAGACATAAGTATGCGGGAAATTATCTTTCTTATCTAAATGGGCAACTTCACAAAATCCAACTTTCAGCATCTTAATGCTGTGATATCTTGATATCTTTTTAGAAGCAGCATATCTAAGAAAAAGCATTACTCATTAAAGTAGCTCTAAAGCAATACTATGCAATAGACAATGGCAAGAACCATAAATAGAAGCCACACATGTAATATTAAAATTTCCAGGAAACACAATAAAACAGACAAGAAAAATCGTATTTCATGATAAATGTAATTTAAGCCATAAAGCCAAAAGGTGAACATTTAAAAATGAAAACTATTTCGATCTTTTGTATTTTTATTTCCAGAGTGGTTTTCATGTACCATAGCTGACCCTCTGGCAGGTTTTCAGAGGCTGTTTTTCAAATAGGAGGAGATTGTCCATATTTCTCTTGCAGATTTTTTTAAAATCCAGTGTGCATTTGAAATTAGAATATCTCAATTCAGGTTGGCCACATTAGCAGTGCTCAAGAAGTCACAGTTTGGCTGCCATATTGGGCAGTACATATCTAGATTTCCCCAGGGGAGATTCTATTGTAGTCAACATTTTGAAGCCCTTTTGACAACGCCTCACATATAAGAAACTTTCTTATTTAAACTTGTTTAGCCTAACCACTAAAGTCTCAGCACGTTGCTAAGTTTTATTTGTGCTCATACTTCTTTTCATTTAGGCAAAAAAAAAAAAATCTAAGGATTACAAGTGTATTAATTTATTATCAGATGGAAAATCCTTAAAATAAATAACAAATAAAGCAGAGAACATAAGACCAGTGGATAACAAATGCTATGATAATAAAATAATAAAAACAAGGGGAGCGGGGGAAAAAATTCCATATCTTGTACCTAGTTTTAGGCCCTGGTATAAAATGGGTATCATTATTTAAATAAGTATAGCAAAACAGCAGCTACTTTCGAAGTGTTGTTTTTGTGAAGATCTAAAATTGAGCCAGACCAAAAAAGAGACATTCTTAATGTTTAAAAAGAAATACTGTTATAATATAAATACTTTGTACAGGCCACCACCATGGACTCCATGGCCAAGAGTGGAGTCAAGTCAAGCCGAATCCAGAGGATTAGTACCTAATCCTCAGCTGAGCTGCAATAATCAGTCACTCCTAATGGATACATAAAGGGGAGGGAACCTGTCCAGGACAATCAGTACTCCCTTACTCAATCCCAGTAAAGAGATTATATCTTTCATGTAATTGACCATGGCGATTATTAACTGGAGGGTTTTTTTTATTCTCTCTGAAGCTTGAAACCACTTTTAAGATCAATGAAAGCTTTGTCAGTGGAGGAAATCTACAAAGAACAGAGAGAAATGAGCTTCCTGCCCTCAAAGAAAGTCTTCTCTGGATTTCTCATTGAATGTCCCTTTTCTCAAATGAAACCAAAGGAAAAGAAATCACATTTAACAAAGCTGAGGTTGCAATGGCTACACAGAGTCAAGATGTTTGTTAAAGCAAATATAGAGGTGTGTTTGCTTTTTCACTCCCAACCTCCCTTTTCTTAGCCGATTAAAAACTGAATGTTAAATAATTCTTTTTCAGGGTAACTACAGAAGAATAATCAAATCCACTGAGGCCTCACAAGTCTTCAGGGTTAAAATGATTGCCAGTCCTTTTGATCCGGGCCATAACCACCAGATTAATGTCCAGCTTGCCTATCATCATTTCTCCAATTGAGACAGAACAGAAGGCAAAGCGTCCACCCATTATTTTAAAACTCTGAAGGCTTCCCTACTTGTTTTAGAAATATGGGAGAGAATGAACATCTACTACTGTAAACTATCTGTTTATGACACTATTTGAAAATATTTACACCACTAAATGTATCAGACTCTGCCAGTTATAGATTAAATGTACAACCAATGGATTAGAATGTAGCTATTACTTCCTCTCTCCCAAGCAGGAGGCACAATTTATCTCTATGCTCTTCAGGATTATTATTTACTGTCTTCCACAGATGTATCTGTAATACACTTTTTTTTCTTAATCTGCACTCTGTAATTAGATTTCTTACTCATACATACAAATTTTCCTTCATATGATAGTGCTTAGAAATGAGATAGTGGGATGCAAGTCGGGAGTAGAAAGAAAAGTCCTAGTTCGTTATTTGGTTGATTACCTCTAGAATGCCAAACCACAGGAGGTGCCTGGAAACCCTAGAGCTGTAACTTTTGCCAAGTCAGGATTGCGAAGGAAAGCCTTGGAAATTAGTTCTCGTGCTTTCCCCTGCGAAATAATTTACAAATGAGCGCATAAATAAAAACCATTTCTTCTCAGAGTAAAAAAGAAATTACAAAAGAAAAAGCAAGCCTCCGAGTTGGCGGCCCACGTGTCTTCAGCAGCGCGGCTCATTTGCAGCGTCTGATCATTACATTCCCTTCACATAGTACTCTTCACTTTTAGATTAATCTGCTGAAATGAGATGCTAAGGATTTGCATACAGATTTGACTATACAAAAATAGATATGGAATTAATAACAGTCTCTATATGTTTTAATTTCTCCTAGACTGGAGTACCCTTGCCTGCAGCAGTATTCCTGGCTTTGGAAGTCATCAAGCTGATTCGTCTGCTCTAGGTTATGATGCCACATGCTGCTATACTGTCCCCTGCAATCAAAGCACTTGCAAAGATAGATTCCATGCCTTCCTCTATCGAGTCTATTTTATAGATTGGCAGGTTTGATCTCTCCCCTCCACCCCAGGGGGGATAATCTGCATCTTAACAGCTTTCTATAGATACATCTGCCATTAAATATGCCATCTCATATCAGCATTCGTTTTTAAAACCAAGTTTTCCCTAACTTTGAAGTGCCACAGTCAAAGTTAAGATTTTTCCCAGCCAAAATTGAAAATGAATAACCCTGTCTGATACTTTTGAACTGTGACTGGAAGATATACTGCAGGTTCTGCCAAAGTCAAATAAGTCTTTAAAAACTGCCAGAAGGAATGAAAAGTTACCACCATGCTACCAGCAGTGAGAAAAGCTTTCTATCATCAAGACAAGAGTGAAGCATTTTTCTTAAGCGTCTCTGCACAACGCACCACAAAATGTTGTGACAAATGGATGAGTGTCTACCGGAGAGAAGATGGCAGGTGACTGCCAGGCAAACACCCTTTGTCTGTGCTACCAAAAATTCATCTGCTCCTCAACTCACCCGGAGCGCACAAGAGCAACCCTGGCAGTGTCCATAAAATAGAAAAACTGCTCTCATTATACTTTGGCTGGAAGGAGTCAACTGAAGACTCCCCTCGTCAGTTTTTCAAAGACAGAAAATACCTCTTTAATGTAAACAAGGGCACCCAGGGAGGGAGTTGGAAAAGCGTGGTCACACGGAGGTGACTGTCACTAATGTCACACCACAAAGCACAAACAACATGCATAAACCATTGAATGGAAAACAGTCTGCTCTGCTAACTTTCACCCAAAACAAGTTAAAAAAAAAAAAAAGAAAAAAATCTCCCTTGATAATAAAGAGTCCTACACTGAATTCTTCAAGGCCAGAGAGCCCGTGATACCTTATACAAAGCTAGTTCACCAATGGGACGGATCAACTCCATGCCGGCGGATGGGGGTGCCCTTAGGTTGGAATTATTCCATAAAATTCAGAACTTAAGAAGACCATATCAGTCTCTTCACATCAAAAGGGAGTTTAGTGCCATACGATAGTGGAGGCATAGTGGGTACAGGGTCTCACTGCCATCCTAAAGGCAGGTGACTTGAATCTACTAGCTGCTGGATGGAAGAAAGATAGGCAATCTCTTCCACTGTGATTTTACAGCCTCAGAAAACCCACTGGGGGGGTCAGCTGTGAGTGTGTTCTAACTCAATGGCAATGAGAGAGAGAAAAGTAGCTTGCTTGTAGACATTTCTTACCATTTCCAAAGAAGGTCCAAATGATAACAGACCAACAACCCCAAACCAAACCTGCTGCCCTTGGGACACGTTCCAGCTCAAGGCAGCCTGCTGGCTTTCCAAGGCTGTAGTTCTTTATAGAGGAGACTCCCCAGCTTCCTCCTGCAGAGAGGCCAGTGGATTTAAACTACCCACTTTGCTCTTCGCAGCCTAACACACAATGCAATGAATTTTGTAGTCTGAAATAGAATTTTTTTGTAACTAAAATAAATTAAGAAAAAAATATCACTAGACCCTCAACTAGATAAACCAACACAGTGACTGCAACAATGGGCTTGAGATTGAGGCTGGCACATGACAGGGCCAAGTTCCCCTCTGCTTTTCAAAGGATCGCTATGAGTCTCGGTCAACTTGATGGCGCTTAACAAGTCTCTCCTTCTCATTCTCACTGCTGCTGAGTCTGAACCAACTCACATTTGACCTTCCAGTGAGTTTTCAGAGGCTGTAAATCACATAACAGGAGCTTTCCCATCCTTCTCTGCTCCCTGGGAGAAAAATAATAGTCAGTCTTGGAAGAAATGACACCAGAATGCTGTTTAAGTGAGGATGGTAAAACTGGTTTGCTTATTTTGAATGTATCCTAAGAAAAGCCCAATAGCTAGAAAAAGGGCATTATGGTCAGTAAAGGGAGTCAGTAAAGACAAAAGAGATTATGAATGAGATTAATTGTCATAATAGTCACAACAATGCAATAAAACATAGGGAT